TCTCTCTCTCTCTCTCTCTCTCTCTCTCTCTCTCTCTCTCTCTCTCTCTCTCTCTCTCTCTCTCTCTCTCTCTCTCTCTCCAGCGGTTGCCCTGCAAATTCAGTGATGGGAAATGCCACCAGACTAAGTTGTAGCAGACTACCTCCTCACTATAGGACTTGCCCTGCCTTCCCACCACAGCGAGGTTCCTCATTCCTTCTGATGGCAATGAGCTATGATGACGGTGCTTCCGGATGCATCTTCGATGTGTCACCAAGTTGTGCAGACAAATTCCTAGGGAAGAGAAGTCAAAGAAATCAGATTCTGGAACACCCAATTACAATATGTTTTATCCAATTCCAATGTACATATATACACTACAATGTGACTACATAATAATATAACAATGTAAGATTACGTAATGACATTTCCTACAGTTTTGCGCAATACGATTCATAATGAGAGGGATACTCAGGAAATGACACTCTCTGCAAAGTTGTGCAAACATAGATTGTTCAATCCCTTTCTTTGACATGTGTGTCCCCAGGATCGTCCGAGTCCTCGAGTTGTAGCTCATGAGACCTCCAGAGACCAGAGTGATGGACATGCAGAATCTGACACACTCTGTCCGATCATGGTTGGCCCATCATTACACCGTGGACAGGTGCACAGGTATTGCGGCCTGAGCAGAGCCAACGACCAACGACATGGATCGAAACGTACTGCCCCAAGTGACTACAAAATTGTGCCCAAACCTTAGAATGCCTGCCTCTCACCTGCTGCTCTGCGAACCATAGCGCCCACCTTTCCTTACAGCGGGCAGCCCACAACTTGGAAGAAGGCCTGGAGTCCCCTGGACACTGTTATGCAGAAGATGTTACCTTAGTGACCCCATGCCATGCCATGTGTGTGGATTGGTAAGACAGACATTTCATCTAATACTCTGGCAACTTCACAAAGAAGCGCTTCCTATTTTTACGCAGGAAATGATGCCGCCATAGGCCCATAGCCAGATTACCCCCCTGGTTCTAAGTGGCAAGACAGGCATTTTGCAAGGGTGGGGGGGGGAAGGGTAAGGCACACATGGCATCCGGTAGGTAGGTGAAAATCGCCCACAGCAGACTGGTGGTTTAAACCACCAGTACTTCCTAAAGTCGTGCCCGTTAACAAGCCACGAATTTAGGAAAGGTATCGGCCACTACAGGAGCGCCCAAATTCCTCCGAGTAGAAACGTTTGTACTCTAATTTTTTCCACAGCCGATAGCTGGGCCAAGTACTGGTGGTTATACACAGG